ATATATATATATATATATATGAATGATATACATATATATGTAAAAAAATAAAATAATTATATATAAAATATAGCATATATACACATATATACACATGAATAAAACATATACATACAATTGCATTTAAAATGTGTATATTGTGTTTTATAATTTATATTTTATATATATTCATTAGCATGCACACCGTGTACTTTGTATGTAAAATGTATCTATAAAATATAGATTGTGCTTTATGAGGTGTATATTATATATAATAATATCTAATTACATATTTTAAAATATATCAATTGGCTTATATATTTTATTATATGTACTAGATGATAATTATATATATTATGCCTATAATTATACATATCTTTATATTCTAGCATTATACAGATTTGGCAATTATTTATGTATAATTATACACAAACACAGGAAATTCACAATTCCTGCTGTTGGGAAATCCCCCTCCCCACATCCAGGGAAAATCATTCCCGGGAGAATCCCCATCCCCAGCAGCTTCTTCCCTGGAAATCCAGCCCATAATACCCTGGTCCTGGAGGAGCCCTTTAACCCCAGCGCTGCCGCTGGAATGGCACACGGAGCTGGGAGCACAGCCAGGCTTGGAGCTCTTTTATTGCGACACAGCCGGGTGGGACACGGGGACCGCGGGCGGGGCCACCGAGGGGTTAAAGGGGACGGAGCCCTGGGGGCCCGGGGTGTCCCGGGGTGTCCCGGGGTGTCCCGGGGTGTCCCCGGGTGTCCCGGGGTGTTTGGGGGTGTCCCAGGGTATCCTGGCGTGTCCTGGGGGTGTCCTGGGGGTGTCTCAGGGTGCCCAGGGTGTCCTCAGGGTGTCCCAGGGTATCCTGGGGTGTTCTGGGGTGTCCCAGGGTGTCCTGGAGGTGTCCCAGAGGTGTCCTGGGGTGTCACAGAGTCCCAGGGTGTCCCAGTATGCCCCAGAGGTGTCTCCAGGATGTCCAAGGGGTGTCCCAGAGGTGTCCCAGGGGTGTCTCATGTCTCAGGGTGCCCAGAGTGTTCTCAGGGTGTCCCAGGGGTGTCCCAGGGTATCCTGGGGTGTTCTGGGGTGTCCCAGGTTGTCCTGGAGGTGTCCTGGGGGTGTCTCAGAGTCCCAGAGTGTCCCAGGGGTATCCCAGAGGTGTCTCCAGGATGTCCAAGGGGTGTCTCAGAGGTGTCCCAGGGTGTCCTGGGGGTGTCTCAGGGTGCCCAGGGTGTCCCAGGGTATCCTGGGGTGTCCCAGAGTGTCCTGGAGGTGTCCTGGAGGTGTCCCAGAGGTGTCCTGGGGTGTGTCAGAGTCCCAGGGTGTCCCAGTATGCCCCAGAGGTGTCTCCAGGATGTCCAAGGGGTGTCTCAGAGGTGTCCCAGGGGTGTCTCAGTGTCCTGGAGGTGTCCCAGTGTGTCCCAAGGTGTCCCCGGGGTGCCCACCCTGCTGGAAGACGTGCTGCTGGCAGCTGTCCCCTGGCCATTCCCGAGGGATTCGCTGCCAGGTGTGCTCAGACCCAAGGATGAGCTGCTGGCTGTGGAATCAGCCACCAAAACCAGCAAAAAGCCCAAAGTGGTGTTTCCTAAAGGGACCCGGGGACACACCTGGAGCTGGGGACGGCCACCAGCAGCAGGACTCCACATGCCAGCTGGGAATGTCCTCAGAGCATCCCGGGGGCCGATCTGTACCCAGAGCTCTGCCCGGGGGGTCTCACACACCCCTCCCAAGGCCATCCCGGGCTCTGGATCTCCATCCCAGCTCTCCAAGAGGAGGGGACAGCACGTCCCTTGGGCGGGTGGCATCGGTGGGATGTCCCCGTGTCCCTGTCCCCACACTGGCCAGGTGACCCCACATCCCAGCGATGCCCACAGCCCATCCTGCCGGGACCTGGCACACCCCGGGGTGGGGAGCAGGAAAAGGAGCAACGAGGGGAAACGGAAGGAGCTGAGCCATGCCCAGGCTGGAAGGTTTGGGACATGGGTGACACCACCCCGGGACTGTCCCCTGGCTGTCCCTGGCTGTCCCAGGGAGCAGCCAACAGACCCATCCTCCAGGAGAGACACTCAAAACTCCTCGCTGGCACCTTTTGCTGCAACTGGTCCTCATTATTCCTTAATTAACATAGCCAGGAAATCAATTAAGTGCGACATTTCTAATTAAATGCTCCGGGAGACGATCGCCTGGTGATGGTTCTGTGGAAGTGAAGGGCTCGACGCGAGCGGCGCTCCCCGTCCCTGCCTCCCTGCCAGCCACACAAACGGGAACGCGAGCGCGCGGGGTGTTCCCGCAAAGCCGGGCTCCGCGCTGAGCCTGGGAGATTAATTAGCGACTAACGAACGCGCAGGGTGTTATCAGGAGCTGGCTCGGGAGGCTCCCTGGCCTGACAACCAGCGCGGGCCTGGAGCCACTGGGAGGGCTGAGCAGGGCATTCCCACCTGGGACATTCCTGT